TCTAATTTCCATTTGGATTAACCTCTTTTTAACTGTACTTGAGTTTATCACACGGGGAAATCCCATTGATAAATTGCTTCCGCTTTTACGTTGTTGTTTTTTTTCCAATTTAAAGCAACATTTCTGCATGGGACTTCCCGTGTGATAAACTCCTAAGACATTACTTGAAGGGTGCATCTACACTGTAGAAATAATGCCGTTTGATACCACTTCAAGTGCTGGATCTCCATCCTATGGAATCCTGGGATTTATAGTTTTACAAGGCCTTCTCTGCCAATGAGTGCTGATGTCTCACAAAACTACACATCTCAGGATTCTGTAAGATGGAACCATGTCAATTAAAGTGGTATCAAACTGCATTATTTTCACCATAGGAATACTTGGTTTCCAGAAGTCACTGTCCAGGTCTGGATTTGAGTTCAGTGACCCATAACCTCAGTCTGATCCCCTGGAAAATGCTACTCTGTTGACAGAACCTTGAATATTTTGGTGTTTCAGAGTAACATATTTACTTATTTCACTTACATTGTCCAATGAAGATTCTTGCCATGTGCACCTTTGTGTCCTTTCAAGACTCAGTGGGATATCATAAAGCTGCTGTGCCTTTCCCAGGTAACAGTCTGTGGAGGGAAATAGCCTGGAGCCCTTTCTGGAAGAAGGTGGAGTGGCAAGACCCTAATTAAAGGTTTAAAAAGAAATTAATCTCCAAATTTTGTCAGTCATGTTATCAGGAATTTGTTATACATTTTCTTTAATTGGTGCACAGCAAAGGTAACATTCTATGCTTTAATCATTGTGGATGTCCCTAAGATTCCTAAAAAAAAAAAAAAAAAAGCAGAGAGAACACACATTTGTGATGTCCCATATCAGGAGTAAGGAGCGTTTGCCTTCCCAAGAGGTTCTGGACTTACAATTCCTATCATTCCTACCCAGAATGGTCAAGGGGAAGGGACTGTGGGAGTTATAGTCCAAAACATCTGGAATGATCAATGATTCTCCATCTCTGTCCTTCATTCTACATCTCTGTAACTACCCCTATGCAAGGATGCACATTGAAACAGGACATAGCCTTCTCAGTAGCAGGGACCAAGCTTATGGCTGTAGGAGTGGGGTTCACCATAGATATCTGCCCTGGTCTAATATGACTTCCTCAGTTTCAAATGTATATCTCCATTGCAGAATATTTAAATGGTGGCTGACAGGAGAGGAGCACCACCATGAGAAAGACTACTCTATGCACAGCACAGGATGGGGGCCATCAGAATACATCAGAGGACATAATGTCAAGCACTTGGATTTAGCCTTGTGTGCTTACAGACAGAAAGGAACAAGGCTTGGAAACCCCATCCTTTGTGATTGGCAGGTAGTTGAACAAATAATTGGCCCAACCAATAACTAGTTGTTTGATTCCAGTACTTTACATACCATCTGCTACTGGGCCCTGCTTTCCAGATGACCTTATTGGTACTTTCAAAGAGCACCCCAGCTATGGAGGGGGAAAGAGTCTGCATGTGTAAGGCAGGGATGGATTTCTGCACTGCAGAAATAATGCCACTTGATACCTCTTTAATTGTCACGGCACAATGTTATACCATTCTTGGATTTGTAGTTTTGTGAGACGTTTAGCTTTCTCTGTCAGAGAGCTCTGGTGCCACAACAAACTACAAATCCAAGAATACCATAGCATCGAGCTATGGCAGTTAAAGTGGTGTCAAACTGCATTATTTCTGCTATGCAGATGCAACCAGGGAGAAAGGGAGAAGAAGGGAATGAATGTGTATATGTATGTGTGCCAGACAGAGGGAGAGAAGACATAGAAGGAGACATAGCAGTGGTGGGAATCATGTGGCCCAAAAGATGTTGGGTTCCATCAGGCCTGGCCAGTATAGCCTTGGTGAAGAATGCTGAAAAGTGCAATCCAGCAACATCTGGAAGAGTGTATGACTCTCTCCTTAGGATATGGGGGAAATAAAGATGTATCTGAGAGTTTATGAAAGGATTCATGGAGATGTGCATGTGTGAAGAGGCATAAGATATCTGTAAAAGGACACATGCTCTTGCTCTCAGTCCATCCAGAATGGGACTGTAGACAGAATTCTTCGAAGAGAAACGTCAATAGCTAAAAAGGTGACTATGATTTAAAAAAACAGTAACTCTAGAACTGGCTCCCCATTGATCTGGACTGATTCACAATAATAGTCAATGTTCATTTCTTTATTTGAATCACTGTCCTTTATGGCAGCACAGTATAATATGTATATCTATAGGAAGAGACTCTTAAAACCTTTTGCTCATATAGGGGGCTAGCAGGGGTCTTCATTTAACCATTTCCAAAAATACATGGGTGCATAAAGGTAAATACTCCGGACTAAAGAGGATTGACTATAATAGTGTAATGAAAGGAGATAGGCACTAGGTGGCAGAGTAGCTTATTATATGAAGTTCTACCATTCTGAATTCAAATATCAATTTAGGAGATTATGGGGGGTTGCAGACTGCCAGAAATAGTGCAAATTGAACCCACTTTTAGGGTTAGGGTTAGGGTTAGGGAATTATGGGAACTGTATTTTATTGTGGCACCAGAGCTCTCTGACAGAGAAGGCTCAGTGTCTCAGGAAAAAAAAACAATTCCCATGATTCCCTAGCACTAACCCTAACCCTAAAAGTGGACTCAATTTGCACTATTTCTGGCAGTCTGCAACCCCCCTATCACACTACTTTTTAAATGCATTAAAAAGAGACTTACCTTGCCCGAATTGAAGTAAAATTCGGGATGCATCTGGATGCTATTGCACAGATTTTCCCTGAAAAACCGCCATTGGAATGCAGCCCGAATTCAGCCAGGCTGACTTAGGGCCTTTACAGATTGCCAGAAATAATGAAGCTTGAGTCCACTTTAACAGCCCTGGCTCGATGCTAGGGAATCATGGGAGCTGTAATTTATTGTGGCACCAGAGCTCTCTGACAGAGAAGACTTAATGTCTCAGAAAAGAATACAATTCCCATGATTCCCTAGCACTGAACCAGGGCTGTTAAAGTGGACTCAAGCTGCATTATTTCTGGCAGTCTGTAAAGGCCCTTAACTCACTTCAGCGGCCATTTTTCTAAGTTGGAACATTTGTAGCAGATGGGCGAGGGATGTGGACTCCAAGTCCGTGAAAACTAAGGGGCAACTGTAATCGAGTTTGAGACCACTTTAACTGCCCTGACTCAGTGCTAGGGAATCCTGGGAATTGTAGTTTATTGTGGCACCAGAGCTCTCTGACAGAGAGAGCTAAATGTCTCACAAAACTACAGTTCCCAGAATTCCCTGGCATTGAGCTAAAGTGGTCTCAAACTGGATTATTTCTGCAGTGTGTTTTGGACTTTAGTCAACGTTCTGCAAGGCGTTCTCAAGCTCAATAAACCAAATTAAAATTTAAGAAAGTTGCCTGGTTCAGGGGAAGACAAATGTCAATGTTGTCACAGTTTCTACCTAAAAGGTGCTCATGATATTTGCAACATCCTGTGCCCAACTGTACACACTCCAACAGACTTATTAGGTGTGGGGAACATTTTACTCCTGCTGGGGTGTGGGGGGGAAACAGGACCTTGTTTGAAAACTTTTTTTCCTGTAACAGATGTGTTTGTTATAGGGAAAATAATCAAATACTCTGCAACAGTTTAGCAATTTGTTTACTATTTAAAAACACCCAAGAAAGACTACATTCTCATAGAATCATAGAATCATTGAGTTGGAAGAGACCACAAGGGCCATCCAGTCCAACCCCCTGCCATGCAGGAACTCCCAATCAAAGCATCCCTGACAGATTCTGATGACAAACAGCCTCAGGACTAGCAGACTGCAGAAAAGCTGGGGATCAAACTTGCAGTAAGGCAGAACTAGAGACTAGGTCTTTACAGACTACCAGAAATAATGCAACTTGAGTCCACTTTAACTGCCTTAGCTCAGTGCTAGGGAATCATGGGAAGTGTAGTTTGTCGTGGCACCAGAGCTCGCTGACAGAGAAGGCTCAATGTCTCAGAAAAAACTACAGTTCCCATGATTCACAGGACTGAGCCAGGGCAGTTAAAGTGGCCTCAAGTTACATTTTTTCTGGCAGTCTGTAAAGGCCCATAGTTGCTGAGACTATGGACCTTATCCCACGCTGCTCTCAAAAGTGGCAAGAAAGCGATATGAGCATCATTGCAGTACTATAGCGCTAGTATAAATATGGCGCTAGCGCTATAATAGCGCTATGGATAAGCTAGCGCTATTGCAATGCCCGCTGAAACCGACATTCAAAAGAACCCGAATGATGCTGCATTCCGAGCAGTTTCTTGTTGGATTCTGAGCGACGTCGTGGGATCACCCGGAAAACTATAGCGCTATAGCGCCTGATTCTTAGCGGATTCTGAGCGACGTCGTGTGATCACCCGGGAATGTATAGCGCTATAGCGCCTGATTCTTAGTGGATTCTTGCTGCTTTTGGCCCCGTGGGATAAGGTCCTATGCTGAGCAACAAGCAGCAACTTTGTAAGCCAAGTCAAAGCCAACTGGCAAGAATAAACAAGACTACTCCACATCATGGGTTATGATCCTGGGTTGTTCCAAACATGGTAACCAGAGTTTCCCAATTTGGACAAAACAGCAGGATAGAGTTCACTGAAGATTTATGGTTTTTATTATAACATGCTAAGAAGGGGCAACACAAAGACTGAATACATGGAGAAAGGTCTGAGTACATTGAGCTGTAATAGAATTGCCCAAACATGGCCAACAAACTGATACACTACCAGTCTAATTGTGCCCTTTCAATGTTGTAATTCCTTTTGCACACACACCTCAGTGCCTGTTAACATGCACATTCGAGCCAGTGTGGTGGAGGCAGCGTGGTGTAGTGATTTAAGAACTAAACTATGACTATGGAGACCAGGGTTTGAATCCCTGCTTAGCCATGAAAAAACACTGGGAAACCGTGGGCACACACACACACTCAGCCTCAGATGAAGGCAATGGAACAGCCTATCTGAACAAATCTCGCTAACAATAATCTATGATAGCATTAGGGTCACCATAAATAAACTTGAAGGCACCCAACAAGCAAGACTCACCTGAGCGAACAGAGACACACAATGCTGTGGTGATGGAATATCATATATATCACTTTTCCTCTCCAGTGCTGAAGCCCAGGTTGCTCTGGGAAGAGTGAAGAGGTGCTAAGGAGAAGAGGGGGAAGAAAAAGTAAGAATTCAAAATAAACATAAGGATTCTGTGAACATTTTATGAGTTCAGTCACTATTGGTAAAAACAGCTCTCATTGGTTTTTAGTTAATCTTTTGACACATGATTATCACTGAACAAATTCTGTGTTCAGTCTTCACCTCGAAAACAAGCAAGTGTGTCCTTCACACACTAATTGCCCTTTGTGGCTATTCTTGCATATTGTTGCATTAATGTTGGTTTGTCATATACAAAGTCTCTCTCACATAAAAGTTTATGCCTCTTGAATAGACAGTACCTAGGGCATCAAAGAATAAGATCAAATGAAAAGTAACTACGTAACAAAATTTCTACAAAATGCAAGTTGATCTGAAGTGAAATTGAAGAATCCATGTGTAACAAAAATTCTGTGTCACCTTTTAAGTTCAGGCAAAGGAAGATGTTTAAGAAGCTGTCAGGGAAAGATAGGGTGACAGTTTTAAGAGTCATGCAGTCCACATGTTTATTCAGATGTTTTTTCAGGTAAACTACTAGTGAGACAAGATAATATGAGGAATGTTAACTTTTAAATGAAGCAGAGATGAAGACAGAAGAACATATTCTACCTTATATCCCTTTTATATTATGCAAATTACTGTCACAGAAAAGACTGATAATCTGTAAACTATTTTTCCTAATTAGGCAATGATTTGGGCAACCACAACACAGTAGGATCACTATGAAACTGGATCACCTGGAGGCGATGGCCTTACTGTATTCCCAGAAAACATTTTGCTGACACCCTGGCTCTTCTGAAAGATCAAATTTGACTTTTGTTAGCAAGACTTCATCTCCTTTGGGAGAATTAAATTTTCCCAACCTATAGCTGCTAGATAGTACTAAGTCTTGCAAGTAAATTTTGCAAGTCCATATCACATTTCAGAAGTTTACCTGTTAATGTGGAAGGGGAACCACCAATAGAGAACACTGTGCAAAAGACTCTCTCAAAGCTGGAGCTGAACCTAACAAGATTAATGGTATCCCTTACATCGTAAGGTTTACAAGCATGCCTTGGTTTTCATCTGAGAGCATAGATGGACAACATATTTATTTGGTTCACGTTTTTCTGCAGAAATATCTATTTTGTATGTCCTGTGATGGACAAGGGGACAAAGTGATTCTTGTCTTGGAAATCGATACAGGCTTGCAATGCATTTGATTGAATAAAAGCATGTGCAAAACCACACTTCCACCTGAAAACTGCACGCAAATAACAACACACATATTTGAAAAATGCACATAAGCACACTTCAGGGGACAAATGTATACAAGGATGGGGGAGAAATAAGCACAAAAATATACACAGACTTCTGTGAGGGAAGGAAAGAAAGCCCAAAGCCATATAACTGACTACAGACAAGAATGGGATTAAGAATGATGGTGGAGAAATGATATACTGCAACAAGCTTCTTTCTTTCAGTTATAAGCTTATTGCACAGCACTTACAAGAACGGGAATGGAACGGAACAGAACGGGGCAAAAACGCATGTTACTGGGCAGGAGAACGCCACTGATGCCGCCGGGAGTCCCCAAGCCATTCCCCAGCCATTCCTGGCAGCCGATTTTTGAAGGACAGTTCAAAATCGTCCTTCAAAAATCAGCTGCCAGGAACGGCTGGGAGATGGCTTGGGGACTCCCGGCGGCATCAGTGGCATTCTCCTGTCCAGTAACATGCGTTTTTACCCCATTCCATTCCATTCCGTTCCTTTCCATTCCAAATTCCTTAAATGCTGTGCGATAAGCTTAATAGTTTCAAAGGTGCTACAAGTTCTCTCTACATAACGATTCTACAGACTAACATGGCTATATCTTTGAATGCAACAAATTGAGATGGACAGATTTTTACACACTTGTCTGAGAATCACTGAAAAGTATGTGTATGTCCTGTGCATAGGAGCAGTTAGCAGCAGGGAGGCCTGTCTTACACGTTTTTAGAAGGGAATATCTACTTATTTTGAGCCCAGCTCCTCTCATTTTTCTCCCAATCTCTAAACAGACTATTTGCAACTGCAAGTTCATCTCACTCCACTCCCTGCCCTCTTTACTCTTTCTGGAGGAAGTTCCAGATGGGGGTCAGGAGTTCAAGGAGGATGTTACACAACAGTAAAAAGATCAGAAGGGTTGAAAAAGGGAAGAGAACTCAAAATTAGTTACATTCCTCAAGTTCCATGGACAGGGTTGGCCAACTACAAATCCCTCTACAAATCTAAGGTTCTGAGCAGATTCTGGCTCGGATGCTCACCCACATCAATCTCCAGGTTGGTGCTTGGATGAATGTGTGTGTTCACATGTCTGTCCTTCTGCTGGCATGGGGACCTATGCATGCTCCATACCTTTCAGCACTGTTATTCCTACTGAGAAGTCCCCCATCACAGCATCTGATGCAGAAATAGGATGCCTGGCTGCACCCATGTGGCCAGCCAGATGCGGCAACATGGGGCATCTCAGCAGGAGCTATGTCACAGAAAGGCAAGGAGTATGTGGGGGCCATTGAAACATCCAGAGTTTGCCCCAGAATTTCCAGGAAACTGCACAACAAACCAAGAGTCAAAGTGACCCGTGTAATAAGGGTCTGATCCTGGCCCCATTGTTTTGGTCTGCATCATCCAAAACAGGGCCATACAAGGCTGGGGGAACACAGGTCTTTTGGCCTATGTGGACAGGCCCTGAAAGTAAAATTACCCAGCCTACATTGTACCAGCTTTTCAAAATCATGGGGGGGGCGGGTTGTCATGGGGGAGCTTGTTGAAAGCCTTATTGATATCAAGCTATACTACATCTACAGTATTCCTTTGATCTGTCAAAGAAAGAGATAAAATTAATTTGACTTGGGAGCGTATCGCACCACTAAAATAAAGCATCTTACCTCTCCCAAATTCAATTCTAACTTGGGTGGCATCCAGATACTATCTCAGGGATTTTGCCACCAAATCTGCTGCCCGAATACAGCCTGGGTTGAGTCTAGGTTCCTGGCTCACTGAGCATGCCTGTTTTCCAAACCAGGAGTTATCTGACTTAAGAAAATGGATGGTGGAGCGCTCCTAGGACCTGAGCTTGACCCGGGCTGTATTCAGGCAGTAGATTTGGCAGCAAAATCCCTGCGATAGTATCCAGATGCTGTCTGAATTAGAATTGAATTTGGGAGAGGTAAGATGCTTTATTTTAGCGGAGCGATAAGCTCCTTGATTCTGACAAACCCATGCTAGTTCTTACTAAACAAAACAGCCTTTTCTAATCACCTATTCAGTTACCTCTATTCTAGAACCTTTCCTGGTACAGACATTGAACTTTTCCCCACTCCTTTTAAATGTTTATGTTTAAATGACAATGTTTGTTTGAGTCTAGACAGCAGGGACCTCACCTATTTTCCACAAATTCTAAGAGATTATGGGCAAAGTATCTGAGCTTATATCTGCAAGTTCCTTTTGTATCTTGGATGACTTGGATACATACATTCATTTACAGCAGCTTGACATTCCCAAACCAGTTCTTTACCTATCTTGGGTTACATTAAAACATTTGAAATTTGGGAGAAAATAAGGCTACATTGAGAGATACAAAATTAATATAAACATGTTCTGTATTAAATTCTCAGTCAGTCAGACAGACAGACAGACAGAGACAGCAGCTCTGGCCAGCTGCTTAGGGAACAGCTGATTATCACAAGCCAGCTGTCTCAATGTGATTTGGGTTTACCCTCTTTCTATTCTTGTGCTCAGCTGGGCTGTTCATCCTTCACATTCTTTTAAGTATGTGAGTGTTTTGTGTGTGTGTGTGCATGCGCATGTTTTGATGCTATGACACAGTTGTTCTTTGTAGCAACAACTGTGATATTGTGAGACACATAACTCAGAAAATGTTAATTTCTCCAGGCTTAATATCTGCAAGATTTTTTTACCTAGCATCTCAAAGAACCCATAGTGATGAGGTCATTCCTTTTTTGGACTATAACTTTCAGCATCCCTGAGTCACTGAGTATATAACTGACCATGCTGACTAGGGCTTTCCTATTAGTTATAATCCAAAATAGGAATTTTCCAAGCTCTTGCTCTGGTAAAATACTTACAACAACTATATTACAAAAATGTTCTTTAATCAATAATCTAAGAATGTGAAAAAGTCATATTACATTAGACCGAGTTCCATTTAACTAACCATTCTATTTCTATTTAATAATGGCCAATCAAAGATCTCTAGAAAATTTAGGGGAGAGTGACAGTGATTCTCTACTTTTTACCTCCAGCACCTGAAATTCAAATTCCTTCTAAAAGTGGGCATTCAATTTCAACATGGGTAATAGGCAATGAGAGATGCATACATGAGTTTGTCTGAGTCATTACAAAAATGTTCTTTAAACCTACTGAGTCAAACTATTTCCACATGTTGTGCTACTAAATTCTATCATTGAAACAGGGCTTGTGTAAAGTACTTTGTTTCAGTTATCCAAAATCAACCACCGTTAATTTTTCACTGAAAGATAGATGAAATATCAGCATTATAAGAGAGAATTAACTTCAAATTCTAGCACTGTCTTTTACTCTCCAAACCATGAAGGTTTTACTAACTTCCCTCATTGTCCCAACTCTGCTTCATCCTTTTTAAAGATAAGACACTTCAAACATTTTCGTTTTTCCCCAGCAGGAAAATGTTCCTTTAGCATTTTAGTGAGCCCAGGGAGAGGAATAACTGTCTTATC